GTATGTCATCAAGGGTGAATAGCTCAATATATGACAACAACAGAAATGTAAATCATTCAAACACTATAGGTGATTTTGAAGAAATTGTGGAAATAGCTGATCTCGCCTTATTATAGGCTTTTATTTAATTTTTTGCGCCGAACTTTTGAAAGCGGCTTGTGCGATTAATCAATTAATATGAGTTAAAATAAATTTAGTAATTGCGCAGTCCTATTGCAAAATGTGTTGAAACAAATATTTTTAAAAAGTGTGCGTATTTTTAAAGAAAACTGTTTGTACATCACTATTATATAAGTGATTTTTGCTATTTCTTATTACCCTCTGAAGGTATTATATTCGTTTTTGGTTTTAAAAACAATATTATAACAAGATCTCATTTTTAGAATAAAAGATTTCTTAAATTGATTTAATGAATTTTATTAAAAAAAAAATTGACGATTTTTGGCGATTTTTTTTTAAATTGTGCTTTTTTTAAACAATCTGGACACCCTGATCTCCATACCAAGTTCCAGTACCCTACCATGAACGCTTCCAGAAATATGCGGCATGAAAAATTCGGGTTTCCCATAACATCCATTTTTTCCATGAGTATGCGATTGATTTCATATATTTCCAAATATACACAAAATATGTCATACAATTCGGTCAAGGCGTTTCAGAAGAGTTGACCACAAACACCGTGACATGAGATTTTATTCGAATGGTGGCAACCCTATGCAAATTTCTTACTTTTTTAAGTGTTTTCATACATTCGCAGTGGAATACCATCATTGCGGCTTATTTAAATTAAATTTGTTTTTGATATTTAAGATATCTGGCAGCACCGGTTTTTAAATTTTCTCTTTACAAACCTTCTACAGACAGAAAGACACAAAATGAAATAAAAACGAAGCAAATCCGTTGAGCCGTTCTTCAGTGATGCGATGACACACGAACAGCAATTCATTTTTATATAAGTTAACACAGCCGCTAACATAACTAGATTTGTTCAGCGAACATAACCGCAAACGCCATTCAAAGTTTCCACTGGGTTTTCTATGCTGGAATACTTGCTACAAGAACACATCCATACAGCTGCTTACCGCAATTCTTATCATCTTTATCATTGGCAACATCTCCCTATCGCCATCATGATCATCAGCAAGGGTACAAAGCAACACCGTAACATCTACCTATTGTTTGGTGACCAACGCGGATAAAAACGCTCTAATTGATGCGGTGCCAGCAGAGTTGTTCCTGCACTCAGAAAGCTGATGCTGTGCCCTTTTATGGTGATCTTCACCAACAAGAGCACATAGCAACAGCTTAACATCCACCATTGTAAGGTGACCGAACAACGCTCTAAGTGTTACGGTTCCAGCAGAGTTTGTTGCTGCACTCTCAATGCTGGGCACAACAAGATCTTATGATCATCGTCACCAATAAGAGCACATAGCAACAGCTTAACATCCACCGTTTGTTAAGCGACCAACGCGCGTTACAACGATCTATTAAATGTTACGGTACCAGCAGAATTTGTTGCTATACCCACATACAAACCCACGCAAATGGTTTTAAGCCTACTAACAACATCACATGGAGGCACAGCTTTATGAATGCTTGGGCTTGGGCTTTGGCTTAGTTAACAAAAGACCAGAGCTTCAATTGTAGACACTAAACGAGTAAGATCGCTATCAATAAATCTAATAAAATAAATGTGAAACCAACTTGTTTAACTTATATAAAGAAGATGCATAAAAATAAGTAAACTTATTAGTGTTTATAGAAGTTGTGCCTGTTCAGTGTTTCCATACTCATTTGCATAAACAAATTTTTTCCGCGCTGATGGAAAATAATGGCTTTTCTATTAGAGCTACCGAAATTATTCCTAAATTTGCAAAAATTCGCAAATTATAGCTGATATTTATTAAAAAAGATTAGAATATTTGGAAGCAGCGACCTAAATGCACCCAGCAATATTAGTGCGGTTCTTTACATCTTTTGACTATAATAATAATAATAATAATAGATTGGCGCTTACACATATGTTAGTGTTTGGCCGAGCTTCTCCTCCGATTTGTGACGTGCGCCTTGATGTTGTCACACAAAACGGAGGGACCTACAGTTTTACGCCGACTCCGAACGGCGATTGTATTTTTATGAGAAGCTGTTTTTCATGGCAGAAATACACTCGGAGGTTTGCCATTGCCTGCCGAGGGACGACCGCTGTTAAGAAAAAAACCTTTTTTCTATATTTTTTGCGATGTTGCTTTGACCAGGGTTTGAACCCAGGCGTTGCGGAGTGGAAGCGCGCACTGCTTACCACTACACCACAGCGGCCGACATTTTTATACCCGAGCGCACTTGTGCACAAGGGTATATTAATTTTGTTCACATAACGGTTGTTTGTAACAGCCAAAACGAATCGAGATAGATATAGACAAATGTATACATAAATGATCAGGATGAAAAAAGAAATCGATTAAGCCATGTCTGTCTGTCCGTCCGTCTGTCCGTCTGTCCGTCTGTCCGTGTACACGATAACTCGAGCAAAAATTGAGATATCTCAACGAAATTTGGTATGTAGGTTTCCCCTAATCCACGGTAGGTTGGTATTGAAAATGGGCGAAATCGGACTTTAACCACGGCCACTTCCCATATAACGGTAATTTCCAGAAATACGAAAACTGCGATATTTTAGTAACTACTGAAGATAATTCACTCAAAATTGATATTTACAATAATTTTTTGACGAAAAAGAAGAATATTATAAGTTTTTGGAAAATGGGCGTAGCCACGCCCACTTATGGTTACATGTGTATATCTTGGTAACCGCTGCACCAATTTCTTCGAAACTTGGCACAGTTGTTGGCCTTCGCATAACATACCAAATGGCCGAAAATTTCTAAAATCGCTCAATAACCACGCCTACTTCGCATATAACGGTAATTTTCAGAAATACGAAAACTGCGATATTTTAGTAACTACTGGAGATTATTCACTCAAAATTGATATTTATAATAAGTTTTAGACGAAAAATAAGAATATTATAAATTTTTGGAAAATGGGCGTAGCCACGCCCACTTATGGTTACATGTGTATATCTTGGTAACCGCTGCACCAATTTCTTCCAAACTTGGCACAGTTGTTGGCCTTGGTACAGCATAAAAAACCGCCGAAACTTTTTAAAATCGGACAATAACCACGCCCAAATCCCATATAACGGTAATTTAGAGAAATACAAAATCTTCGATAAATCAGTAAATATTGAAGCTAATTTATTCAAAATTGATGCTTGCAACAATTCTTTACCAAGAAATACGTTTATGGTAAAATTTTGGAAAATGGGCATGGCACCGCCCACTTATGATCACATATAAGTATATCGGTAACCGTTCTACCAATTTGTACCAAACTCGGTATGGTTATTGTACTTGCCACGTGTAAGCAAAACGTTGAAAATTATTGAAATCGGACTAAAATAACGGCCGATTCTCATATAACGGTAAATTTAAGAAATGCTTGAAACTTCAATATTTCGAAATTGAAGGACGATAATTTACTCAAAAGTGATACACCTCGGCTTACCATCTAGCGGAAGGTTTCGGAAGGGTGAAAAAACATATATTTAATACTTGCGCCGGGTATTTAATGTTCGGCTCCGCCCGAACTTAGACTTTCTTACTTGTTCTTTTTATTCTTTTGACTATAGGCCAGTGCAATTATCAAGAGAACAATTAAAATTTTATTGAAAACAGATAACTTTGAGTTTAACGATTAGCTAAAGGGCTGCGAGAAATGATATTTGACTTTATCTTTTGCGTTAACGGATTCATTATCTAATAATATGCACGAAACATTTTGCTGAACAAGAACTGGTCTTATTCGACTAGTGTGCCGTGGGTCACTTGGCGGTCGATGCGCGGGCTCTTACAATTAAAATAAAATACTAATATTTTGCAGGCTTGTTGTTGTCTTCATGATACAATATATTTTCACTATTACCAAGAGATTTGAGATAAACTAGATTTTCGACCCGCCCTATTGCGTAATCAGTACTTTTAGTTGCAGCTGCATTTCTTATGTAACTTTTTTAAGTCATTATGAAATTAGTGAAGCAAAAAAAGAAAAAATTAGTTAACACTTAATTCCTCACAATTCAAGCCCCGATTTCCCACGCAAAATGAAACTCCACACAAAAAACGGTCCTTTCCCCGATTCCCACGCAAATTGAAACTCCCCGCAAATCGGGGAGTTCCCCACAAGTTGGCTTCCCTGGTCTCATGTGCAAAATTATTTCTGATTAAAGTTTTGCTGTTTTTCATATTAATACGAATATAATTTGTTAATTTTTGCCTTATATCTCTCGCTTGTGAAGTTCAGCAGAAAATTTAGTCCTTTTTTGATACGTTTATATAAAATACATGGGTAGACTTTAGTGTGCATCGACATGCGCGTGTTTTAACAAAACTATAACGAATTTTCTCATGAAACTTTGCGAAGATCCTAAGAAACAGATATGTTTACAGAAACTCCCACTATTTTCACTTTTTTAATACTAGTATTTAAGTAATTTGTGGTTTAAATTGTTTGCACTTCTACTAGCAAATTTTCATTTAAAAGTGCAGCTATCACTTGTGCTTGCATAAATGCACGATCTTTTAAATGTTCACGTGTGATTTGTGTACATTAAATGTATTTTATTTTGTCAATGTTATGTTTCTTTGAAAAATACATAATAAAAATCTTTTACCACACGCCATTATGATTTTTTTTTTTATTAAACAATATTGAAAAAGGAAAGATTTACGCCTGTGTCGCTATTGAAAAAATAAAAAAAACCTTAAAAATGGGAACATTTCTTTATCTTCTAGATTTGGTTATTAGGTATTACTTATTTAGAAATTTACCATTGAAACAATCCAGCGCTCGTTTAAAGACAGTGTAAGAAATAAAGACAATATGCGTCCTTTATTTAGTAAATATTGATAAAGTACAGAGGGGCAAAATAAACGACTGGCCTTACAAGCAAAGGACGGATACTCACCGTTACTATATGTTTAAATATAATCTAAAGGAGACTCAAACTTGGCAAAAATAAGTGGGCTTGATTACCTTTTTGAAAACAAACGGCTCCTCGCCATAAACTGGATTGAGACCATTATCTCGCACGATCCGCGTCCGAAATCGCTTTCTCACAGTATCTGCCGGCAACCCGAACATATCCACTTCAACGTAAGTACCCACACGTTTATCAGTTAAAAATTGTCCAGACAACACCATTATGGACACAGTTCCTGCTATGATACCATCAACCTGCAATAGCGCCATTTACAACCATATCAGATAAAAAAAAAAACAAGAAATCTAATATATAGTACCGTGCTCTCCGCAAAAGGGTCCAATCGACGATCGGTGCGTCGCATAAACTCCGGCTTCAACAAATACCCTGATCGATCATTGTATTCGAAGATGCCCAGATTTAATTGCATAGCTAAATCTAAAGTTTGATAGTTGAGAGCAACTAACTGGCAGCCAGCATTCCAGAAAAGCTTCATACAATACGTAAATATGCAATAATTCCTTTAATGTAATATTTGCAATAAGGCGCTTGAAAAGCTCAACTAACCTGTGGCATAAAGTTAGAACTATCGAAACGGGTACCGGTTGGATAAACTCGGGAAAGCTGGTGTTTATTATAGTTGACAAATTCAATCGGTCGTTCTTTGAGCAGAGCTGTAGCTTGTTTTTCATCAAATGAAGACATCTCGTAGCACCGATTTTTTTCTATGATAGTCAAATTGAATTTGATTAGTAGTAAATGTACATTTAAATGTACACACGGCTTATACTTTTTACTTTGCACTTACTTTCCGCATTTTCGAAAGTATAGAAATGTACCGGTTCCACATAATTAACTAGCGCTGAAAGTTCAGCGGCCGCTTCAGTTTCCTTTTGTGGTTTTTCTGCTGTTGGATCAGTGCCAACTGGAGGATTGGGCGCCACATTTGGAATAGACTCATCATCACTCGAGCTATCCGTATCGGAAGAGCCAGTACTATCCTTGGAACTCTGGCGAATTTGCTGAAAAGCAAAATAGTGTTAAAAAGTGAAGTATAAAGGTAAAAAAAAACTGCAATAAATTACAATTAAATTCATGGGAGAGCCGATAGCCACAGCAGCTAGTGCTCAGCCCCTTCTCCCTTTAGTCTTAAAATTAATTTTTAATTCTAAATAAATAATAATAATAATAATAAATTCATGGGAAAATCCGTATACACCCGTATCAAGTTACTATACTTGTACCGCATGGAGCCTATCCCCTGGCCTCATGCATTGGTGTTACATAGCGGTAGTTAAGCCGATATTGCTCTACGGCGCTCTGGTATGGTGGACCGCTGCCAACCAAATCTCGTATAGAAAACCATTGAAGCGATTACAGCAGCTCGCTGCACTGTGCATAACAGGAGCGCTAAGGACCACTCCAACGGCGGCAATTGAAAGGTTGCTTGACCTACCACCAATCGACATCAGAGTGGAGAGCACTGCAGCGAAGTACGCTATGAGATTGATGCCCTTAGGTGAATTCTCCGCTACAACCTTCCGGCACAGTTCGATATGCAGGGGGATGGAGGACGAAATAGACCACATAGCCCACGCTTCTTCTGGGGAAGAAGGTTACAAGCTACGTTTAAGGAGGGCGGATGGCGCAGGAGCATGCGACCCGCCAGCGGAACGTATAACATCTACACGGATGGATCTAAAATGGCTAATGGAGTGGGCGGCGGAGGGAACCCTTCAAGCTTCTATAGTACTGCAGTATTTTCCAGGCGGAAGTCTTCGCTATAGGGAAAGCTGCTGAGATAGCTAGTAACGCAGGAAACTATATAAAAAATATCAATATATATGTCGATATCCAGGCGGCGATCAAGGCTATAATCTCACATCGTATGGCGTATTGTCCTTAGAAGCAGGGAAGCAGTAAACAGGGCGGCCGAGGGTAAACGGCTGCATATATACTGGGTTCCAGGCCACAAGGGCTTTATGGGCAACAAAATAGCTGATGAGATTGCCAAAAATGCCATCCGTCTTGCTAGCGAACCAGTACAGGAAATACAAAAGTCACTAAAAACGATCTATAATGAAATTCCCGAAAGAGCTGCGCGCCGGATCAGGGTGAGGTGGAACGCATTAGCGACATGCCAAACCACCAAGATCATGTGAAATAGCAGCAAAGGAAACACCAATTTCTTGCTTACACGGTCACGTAGGGATTGCAGTACAGTTGTTGGCCTAATGACAGGCCACAACCTACTGGCATCCCATGCAAGCAGAATGGGCATTAGTAGCAGTGACGCATGCAGGAAGTGCAGGGAGGAAGGCATGAGTGAGACATTAGAACATCTCCTCTGTTTCTGTCCGGCCTTAGCTAGAACTCGTCTTAGATGTCTCGGAGCCGCGCAGTTCAAAGGACTAGAGGAGGCTTAGAAACTGGAAGTTAAGGCTCTCTTGAACTTCGCAAAAAGCGTTGACGTCCTATATGACGAGTACTTTAGATCGCAGTGAAACGGACCTGCATCTGGCACTACAAAGGACCAACGGGTCTTTGTAAGGCGCATCAGCCGGCCAGTGTAACCTAACCTAACCTAATTATAAGTATGTACACAATATGCATACATACGTATGAATGAATGCATTTAGTTCACTTTATGGGCCGCTACAAACTATGTATAAATTGCCACAGAGCAAAAACGCATGATTGAAAAGGGCGAGTGCCGCACCGTACTCGTCATAGAAGTGAAACATCTTAAAAAACACATGTGTACAGCGTAGAGAATGAGACGAATACAGTTGGTTATTGTATCTTATGTTGGTACCAGGGTTGTTGCGAATATTCGCATTCGCATTCGCAACTGCGAAGCTTCCGCATTAATTTTAGCATTCGCATTCACAATAATCAATGCGGAGCTTTCGCGAATGCGAATGTTTTGCAAGTGCACCGATGAAACGTATATCTGGCAAACAAAATGACATATTGTAGCTTTGTGAAACAAAACTGGCAAAACAAAACTATCAACTTTGATAAAAATGTCTTTAAACATATTACGTAACAGAGAACATTGTCCTTTTAATAATATTTTTTTTGTTTTCTGTGCTTTAAATACCTGCATAGGTTTCTTTTTTTAATTTGATTTTTTTGGACCAATCTTAAAAAAGTTAATGGACATAAAAGAAGAAAGTGGGCACTGTAATTTTAAACCAAATTGTCGTGATCATTTCAAATGGGACTCTTTGGCAAATTTATTTTAAGCAAAGATTTAAAAAACAGTAATTTTTTTACTTGTCGGGCACTATTTTTTTCATAGGGCGTGTGTGAATCGGTAACAAAGTTCTATGGGGGAAAGCTGTTGAATAATATTTTTACTTTGGTGAGACAGTTTTGCCAATCTGTTGTGTGAAATGAAATATTTTTTGACAGCACTAAATTTTTGACAACCACAGATTTATTCGGAATAAACTATTACAAATTGAAGTGAAATTAATATTTTAAGAAAACATCTACCATCATTGATTGCAATTCATCAATTTAAGCTTTTGTTTTACGAAAAATTACACAAAGCGACAATCTTTGCGATTGTCAAAATTGTCTATGCATTTGTCAAAAATTTCACTAGCCTCATGAGCTACTGAAATTTTATTCAGCTCATACTCGTCAAAAATTTACTTGCCGCGAACTTTGTTACCGATTC